ATTAAATTTCAGAATTTTGCACTCGTTGAATTTCAAAATTACGAACCCCCAATATTTGAGGATAAATTCCTGAAGACCAATGGCATGCCGCTAAAAATCTAAACTTTTTTTCTCTATGTAGGGGAGGGTGGGGCAAAACGGCCCCCCTTCAATTGTCAATAACTTGTGAATGACATTGTGAAAATTCCCAGTTTAAACTTCATTTTGAAGATAATTTTTCATTCTTCAAAACGAGCTCTAACTCATCCCAATCGGATTATTGAATCGGAAAATATTGACGATTGAAGGGGGGCCGTTTTGCCCCATCCTCCCCTAGTTGAAACAGAAACCAACGCTGAAGTCCAAATTGAAAGGCTTCATATCAATAATGTAAAATACAAAAAAAAATGTAGAACATTGCATGATTCCAACAGCAACTGAGCACTTTAAACAATTAGAAAGAGAAGAGAAAAACCTGAATGAGGCACACAATGGCCGATCGACCTGGATACACCCCCACGTCATCGAAAATTTTAGTAAAAATACCTCGAACGAAAGCATTTCGGAATTTTCCCAGACCCTCTGAGTCTTCCACCCCTATGAGAATGTCTGTCCTCTGTGCCATCAAGGTTTATATATACGTGGCGCTCTCCTCCGAGGGGGGAAGGTACGTTACAGAGAGGTCGGGGAGGTCTTACCAAGCCACTCTCTGATATTGCATTTGCAAAGCGTTCATCGCGTCGACGCGCATTAGATAGGACCGCATTTCATGGAGACGTTGATCGGACGAAGTAGAACAAGGAATTGAGAGACAAGAGGATATAGGAAGGCAATGACTGCCCAAGGGATATCGACTTTGGATTGCTCGACCCGTAACATATTCTCCCATCATTTTTCTCCATTTTTGTCCTGCGGGATTTACGTGTCAAGGATGAGCAAAAAAAAAATACTGGCGCATGGGATTCCACAAGCAGAGAGAAAATACTATCACGTTTTCCGCCTATTTTTTACACATGCAGAACTGGAAAAAAATTGTTTTATCCCCCTTTCACACATGAGAAATCACGGTGAATATATATTCCTCCGTGTGATTTTTTTTACCTCATAAAAAAAACTTAGAAAGCCTCTCACACACCTCTCATGTGCAATTAAAATGAAAACGTTTGGCATTTGCTCATGATAGATGTGAATAAACACGTTATTGTAGTATAACTGAAGATATTATTTGTAATAGCCCGGGGGCTTTCGAAACGGAGAAAAAACCACTCATTTATATTGATGAAGTCAAATGGGTTGGGGAATGAGTTTGAAACACCTAAAAACAGTATCTCGTGGTTGGCATGCACATAGAAACGTGAGGGTAATACATATATAAAACCGTATACACTCTGGGGCTTGCTTTTTATATCGATTTTCTTCGGGGTAAGCGAAATGCCTGTTCCTCTGCGGCAGGTGCGATGAGAACACAAGTGAGACGGAGAACAACCGAAGAAGGCTTATGGTGTTTACAGGGGTAAGAGAGAGAGAGAGAGAGAGATAGAAAGAGAGAGAGAGTGAGAGGGGAGCAAAACCCGGGGGGAGGACTTATCATATGAAAACCAAAGTCTCCCCTAACTAATAGTAGAAGAAGAAGGATAATGGTAGCTGATGGGGGAGGAACATGAGTCACATGAAGAAATGGTAGACAGGAAGAGGACGAGATGGAGAAGGCTAAGCGGATTTTCCCGTGGATGGACACGTCATCATGATTATTCGATAATCTTATCGTGAATTGAATGACTACAAAACGAAAGACATAATTTTTGTCGTCATTTGTTGAATGGAATGGCGAAGTAATTGGCGGAGACGGTTTTTTCATTTGGAAAAACGCAAAATGAGGGTTCGTGCGGGCGACGATACGACTCGGTGACGTCAGAGTACTTGAATAAGGCTGAATTACACGTACTTATTATTCACAAAAACGTGGTAGAATGGGGTTGATATGGAGGCAGGGTTATTTCATCGACGGGGCGGCGTAGTGCCAGTACGTCGGCCTCAAGCAAAACGCCACCGAATCGATCCAACACATAACAATTTTCTTTTTTCTTTAGCGAATGGATTTCACGATCGGATTTATAAAGCCAGTGTGCAGTGAAAAAGTCACTCATTGGTGCAACTATTTCGTTGTCTGACCCCGTGCAATGAACACCCCCCGTCCGCACGAGCCCACGAAATCCTCCCGAGAAAGGAGCAAAAAAATATGGAGTGGATAAAAAAATGTGAAACTAGTACGGTTCCTCCTCACCTTTTTCAACTCCTCGAGTGGATTTAATAGATTCACACAAGACTTTTTTCGCACTCTTTCACTCACTGAACACTCGGGACTTTGTTAATTAATGATTGTCGTTTCTTTTTTTTCGGTGAGTTTATTAGGAAATCTCTCAGTACTACGGTTCACTGACAAGGGAGAGAATACGACCAACTCGTTTCCGCGATTGTAACACGGGTGGTGGTAGCAGAGGGTGGCCCCCTGACCGGTCTGCACAGATGGCGCTCGTGCTTAGGGATGAAAAACACCCCCTCTTTTTAATTATTTCAGTGGTTTTTCATTTTTTTGCGGTTTTACGAGACGAAGTAATTAAACAAATGTTTCTCTCTTTCGTCTTATCGAATAATGTTTCTACTACTTTCATGTGATCATTTCGTAGTTTTTATTTTTATTCATTTCATTTTTTTGAATGTTGTTTATTTAAATGAAAATTTATAGAATAGTTAATCGAATAAATGTTGTTTTCATTGGCTTGATCAAGTCATGTTTTTACTACTTTCATGTGATTATTTCGTGTTTTTTATTTTTCTACATTTCACTTTTTTAAATGTTGTTTATTTAAATGACAATTTATAGAATAGTTAGTCGAATAAATGTTGTTTTCATTGGTTTGATCAAGTCATGTTTTTACTACTTTCATGTGATGATTCAAGTTCATCAAGTTAATTAATCAAGTTAATTAAGTGTTTCTTTTTTCCCTTTGAGGATGAAATGCAAAGTGACGAATTTCGTTGAAAAATTAAATAAAAAGCATCCCACATAGAATTAATCTCTTTGCAATAAATCGGCAATTAAATGCGCAACAGAGCGAATGATGAGTCAAATATGATTCCAAAAGAAAATGAAAACAGGCAATGAGCGTGAAAGATTCATCTCGAGAATCAGGAGATAGAGCCCATGTTCGTCCGCCCAAATTTGAATTCCCAGCATCCGGAAGTCGACGTCCCCGAAGCGGGAATTTCGACTGAATAAAACACGATATTAAATTGAATAATTATGATTTTTATTACTTCTTCATCATTTATAAAAAACCTATTGCCTGTAACAAATATTTATTGTGATTCCCTGGTGTTCATTCTATCGACGATCCACGATTTATTTACTTTTTAACAACTTGAATGACGTCCTCGTCGTGCATGGTGTGCTGGATGCCCACCCTCTGAGGTGAATATTTCGTACTTGTTCCCTGTATTTTCCCAAGTAAATGGATTAATTAGAATGATCATGAGGAAATTAAACGTTAATACTTGTTATCGGAGAGAAGGAAAATTACCCAGACAAGTGCGTATTTGAATTGAGCAGCGAGTGTTCGATGTATCGTGTGACAAACGTGTTCCACAGTGACTCCTCTCCTCAGGATCAAGCCATCGTCAAAGTCTGGGGGCTGTCCAGGCTTCTTCGTGTACACTCTGATGAGGGAGAGGTACTCCCACAGAGTTTCCAACAAAAAGTCCAAATTCAATTTCATATTACAACTGAAACATTAAAAAAAACAATAATTAATTGATCAAAACAATTGACCAGTCGAATTGCTCACCTAACTACAACACTGCTAGGCTGCCTGGCAATCCTGTCCACCTCTTCAATAGAAATCTGATCGATTTTATTGTAAACATAGAGACAAGGCAGATAAACTCTATTAGCATTAATGACATCTATCAATTCGTCAGCAGTGCAGTCCTCCCTGAACAAAACCTCGGCGTTAAAAATTTTGTACTCATGCAAAATCATCTGCACCATTTTCTCGTCGATTTTGGTGAGTGGACATGTTGAGTTGAATGACAGTCCACCCCCCTTCTTTATCTTAAAATAAATGTTTGGCTTTTGTTTATTGAGCCTGATCCCCACAGACTCGAGCTCCTTCTCCAGTAGTTGCCTCTGGACGTCTTGCTTAGTTGCATCCAGCATCATGAGGACCAGATCTGCTGTTCTGGCTACAGCAATCACCTGTCTACCACGACCTTTGCCCTGGAAGAAAAACATTTCAGCTTCAAAGGGGATTTTTCTCGATTTACATGAAAGGGGGTAAATGAACCATTTGCAATCATAAATTGAGGGCATTTTTTCAGAGCTTAAAATGGCTTTTGATTCATTCAAATCGTATCATTGTACCTGTGCAGCTCCCTCGATAATTCCAGGCAAATCCAGCAGCTGGATATTAGCCCCCTTATACTCAATGACTCCAGGGATGCATGTCAACGTCGTAAACTCGTAAGAAGCAGCCTCAGATTCTGTATGAGTTAGTGTTGACAGCAAAGTGGATTTTCCCACTGATGGAAATCCAATTAATGCTACTCTAGCATCCCCCGACTTCAGCACATCAAATCCCTCACCCTTTTCCGATTTCTTGGAGGGCTCAAGAAGCTGTGACCTGTACTTGGCTAATTTGGCTTTGAGCAGCCCCAAATGATATTCTGTAGCTGCAAAAAGAGAATTATCATGTTTTGGAGCAGATGTAGACTGATAAATTAACCTATAAATCCACAAACCTTTATTTTTCTGTGTCCTCGCGATCTCCTTCTCGATCTCCGATATTTTCTCTAAAATTCCCATGGCTAATCCTCTAACAATTTAATCTAATCCCACGAAACCCGTTTATAAAACAATAAATTATCGAGTTTTTGTCGCATGAAATGTGTACAACGACTTGAAGGTTGTTCCCTGGGGTAAAAGTTAAATGCCGGGTGGCTCCCTGATTCCTAGTCTAGGGGATTTTTGCCTGGAAGGTTCTCTACACTGCACATATTGTTGACGACTCACAAGCACGACTGCATCACAACTCCATGTACCATCCACGCACACATTTACAACTCTAAAAAAAGTTTTTTCGGGCCACATCTCTCAGTTTTCACTGTTTACAAACAGTTTTGGAGCAGCCAGAGTAGCCAGAGTCTCTCAAGGTACGTCCACGTGATATATCCACTCCAAAACTCCCCCAAAATTAATCAACAATCGAGCAAAATTATTGTTGTTTCAATTGTTGCTGACAAACAAGACATCCCCAACAAATGTATTTTTAGCCAATGTCATAACGTCGAATTACAGGTGAACTAATGTGAAGGTGTAACCCAGAAAATGGCATCGAATGATCAATGGCCCCCAGTGGCCCCAGCAGGCAAAAATTCAGGTAAAAATCGTTCCAACATAAACACGAAAAAACCAACAAAGGAGGATCAGCAACAGGTGCTATCAGGTCTAACCGAAATGTTCCAAAATACCTTAGAATCAGAGGTGATTCTCTCAGTGGCCAGTAGTTGTGACTGGGAGCTCCAATCCTGCATCGATGCACTCATAGCCCTCTCCTCCACAGTTGAATCCCAGAACAAAGCGTCCCAGGACCGAGGGCTATTCGTCCTAGTCTCTCGTGATCCAGGGAATCACACAGAGCCATATGTCCAAGAAATCGACACAGATTACTTGAAAATGGATAAAACTGAGTTGCAGAAACAGAAGCAAGAACTCAAGAAATTTGAGAAAATCAAAAAAACATCATCTAAAAATCGAATGGGCTCGTTCAGAGGCAACATATCTAAACTGGACTTCAACTACAGAGAGAAGCAGGCGTTAGGGACTTTCGATTCAATCTGGAATCCACCGATGCCCCAGAGCAAAGCAGACGAGAAGAACTGGAACGATCATTCTGATCTAGTGAAGAACGCCCTCTGTGTCCTCCCCACAATGACACAGTCGTCAAATCCATGGACCGAGGGCCTCAAGCAGGCCCCCACCACCCCCCTCAGCCAGAACACTTCACATCACACGTCATCTGCACTCTGTGGGCTGAAGGTGCAGTATCGAACAGCAGGCATGGAGAGTTCTTCAGACGACGATGATGCTGATGTTGTCATCGAGAAGGAACTCAACTGCATCATCCCCACGTCAGTGCCAGTCAATGTCTCCCAACTGTTGTCATCGTCGATTCAGACTCCACCCCAGGTAGCCTGCAGCTACAAAACGCAGATCATCACGACTCCATCACCACCGATGACTCCTAAAAGGTCGATTCACCAGACAACAGTGGATAGAATAAAAACGGCCATAATGAGTGGAGACAAAATCGTGATCCTGATAAGAGGCCTGCCAGGCAGTGGAAAGTCCTTCCTAGCTAGGAGTCTAGTGTCAACAACCATCGGAGGCAATCCCTCAAACTACATCTTCAGTACTGATGACTACTTCGTCGCCCTGGGACGTGGAATCTACATGTACGACCCGAGAAAGCTGAGTGACGCCCATACTGTGACTCAGAAGAGGGTTTACAAAGCCCTGAGCATGGGGAAAACTCCAGTGATTATTGATAATACGAATACTCAGGCTTGGGAGATGCGTCCTTATGCAGCTATGGCTGTGAAATTCGGGTACATCATTGAGGTGCTGGAGCCTGACACTCCCTGGGCCAATAAAATCGGTGAATTGGCGAAGAGAAATAGTCATGGGGTGCCGAAGGATAAGATTGAACGAATGCTCATGGGGTTTGAGCCTGGAATCACTGGGAAAAAGCTGCTGCCGATGTATTCGTTGCGGTATGAACCTGGGACCGACCCTCGAACGGCGAAAATCCCAGAGAGGAGTCCAAGTGAAGCTGAAGAGTTGTCTGTTAACTTGGAGCACTCAACAGGAACAACTCCCATCATTACCAGTCATCTAGGAGAATCCGGAGACTACGAAGATCCAGAAGAACAGATCAAAATGATGGAGAGGAAGGACCTCGAAGAATCCCCTGAGAACGAACAATACAAACCTTCGCCGGAAGAAAAACACTTTCTACAAGTGTTTGGAGCCATTGGATCCGAGAGGAAAAACAGCGTGGTATCAACGGACGTCACTGTTATTCCAGATCCTGTGAATGAAGAAGTGGGTCATAACGACGAAAATATTGCGTCCCACTGTTCAGAGATGCAGGAACAGGATGAAGAGTTTGGTAAGAAAAGAAAGCGAAATGGAGATAGTCCTGGGGAGGAGCCGAAGGAGGAGGATGATGGGGTGAAATCAGCAGTTCAAAATTTCCTGAGTGAATTGACGCAGGGCTATAACAGCACCTCTGGGGGGTTCCCACGAACTGAGCAGAGACAATCGACTGTGATCATTACCGAGTTCTTTGAGGAACAGGAGATAGACAATGTCGCGGATATTGCTGCTAGTCTTCTTGAGGGTCCCACCATAGATGACATTAATTTATGTAAACACGATGAAAATCTCGAGGGAGAGCATCCTGAATTTATTAAAGAAGACGTTCACTCGCGGCGACATGAAGAATTGCATGGACATGAAAATGAAACACTAATAGAGGACGAAAAAATAGAAAATAGCTCGGGTGAGGATAAAGATATGAGTTTCATAGACGCAGAGAATCTGTCGGACGTTGAGACTGCGGAAGAATCAAGAGAGCCTCAGGCTCAATCCACTCTAGGCACGATCTTCAACATCATAAAGACCTCAATCTTAGGGAACACTCACGATGAAGAGGAGTTAACGAACGCAGAAATAGAGCAGGGAAAAGATTTGAAAGAATTTTCAGTCTTGGAGGATCCGAAATTGGAAACGCGCACTGAACCGAACAAAAAATCCGAATCAATATCCATAGATGATGTGAATGTTTTCAAAAGTCCTATAGCTGAGATAAGAGCTGCGATTAACAGTACAGATAACGACGTCTTGACGGAGAGGATAAAGCGCAGTGATAAGAATGATGACACAGAATTCTACTCACTCGAGAATGAATCGTCCGAGGCAAATGCTTTTTCTACTGCACTCGAGAGTTCAGAGAAACTTGACGAAAAAGTAGAGAAAGAAGAACTCACATCGGCTGCAGATGAACCTGTTGATAATCCTGAGTTTGTACAGTCAGGAGAAATCAGCGAAGAGTCTGAAATACTCGATAACATAAACAGAATCACGTGGAAAGAGTCTCCATTTCCAGTGGACGACCTGTTACTTCCTAAAGTGAGTCCAGTGGACGAGACAATAAACCAAAATGTCCAGAAACAGGATGCCTCAACCATGACGACATACTACGATTTCAATGTCTCGTATTTCGGAGTAACATCCGAACCGATGTACAGACTAATTCCAGCCTTTAATAGACTGATAAACGAAGGTGTACCCAATCCAAAGCCCGAGAGACCACCGCTCAAATTAATGCTGGATAAAAGCTCAATGACTGGAGACATATTCTCCAGAGAAGGCAATCCAGAAGTTAAAGATCCAGAGGAGAGAGACGGGTTTCGCCAGCTCATGGAGCTGTTTCCATACATCCCGAGGGCCTACCTGATGGAGATCTATGAAAAAGTTGATGAGGAACTGGACTGGGCAGTGGAATTACTCCTCGAAGGTGGAACTGAGAATATTATTCTCAAAACGGCTGAGGAAAACCCGGGGTTATCAGAAGAATCTTCAACAGTTGAGAATGAGGAGGCTAATTTTAACTCAACTATTCCCGAACCTGTTCAATCCTCGCCAGATCTTCCAAGTTCTTCACAATGCCCAGATGATTTCATAGATGAGGAGGAACCTGAAGACGAACAAGAAGAGCAAGAAAAGGAAAAATATGTGGAGGAAATGACAAGAAATGAAGCGTTGAATACTCCCGAAATGATGAAAGAACCAACGACAGACGTGTCTGACGATACAGCATCAACATCAACAGCTTCAGTAAGTCGTATGGAATCCATAGAGGACGACAAAAGTCCTGAAAGCGACGATCCAGTAGAATTGTACCTCGGATTTGATTGCATAAGAGGTCTTGAACAGACACTGGGAATTCCAAATTTTCACATCCCCGAGAGTTTCTCCCCAGTGATTCAGATAAAGAAATCAATAGCCGAGGAGTTGTACGCCAGTTGGATCCAGAGCCTCTACCAACAAACAAACGCAAGGCACGAACAGTTGGACCAAATGATGGCAAAAGATGCTGAACTGGCGAGATCGTTAGAACGTAATATGGAACTTGTAGGGGCAACTGCTTCCGATGTTTCTTCCGAGCCCAATTTAGAACAGATAATGGACATGGAGTTGGCTCTAGCTAAATACAAGAATGAATTGAAATCAATTATATCCCGAGAAACACCTGATGATTTGGCAGCTAGACTGTCTCGTCAGATGCTCAACGAAGCAATACCGGATATTGATCCAGACGCTTTCAATGAGATTTTAAAAGCTCACAATGGAAATTTCAAGGAGGCTTTCGAGGTCATTGAGATGAACACTGGAAAAGTCATTGTTCCATGTGATACACTCAAGAAGCAGAAGATTCTGATGGATAAAGTGAAGGAGGAGGATAGAAATCTGAGGGAAAAAGAACCACCTATTATTGTTGTCAGAACTGGGGGTAAAGATGATAGACTTGGGTATAACACTGCTCTGGCACATGCCAGGGACTCCAGGGAGGAAGCCCAAAGGCAATTATCCCTGAAGATTCAGAATTACAACAAAGCTGCTGAGGCTTACAGGAAGGGCTGCCCTGGAGTGGCTGCTTACTACTCTCAAGTGGTAAGTTCATCTCTCTCCAATCGTTTTTTCTCATTCCATCATTTCCTGAGAGGAATGCGTCATGATGATTTGTTTTGTGATGATTTCAGGCTCGATTGCATAGTAAGAATATTGATGCTGCGAACGCAGCAGCAGCCAGTGCTTTCGTCGAGGCTCAGTCTTGGGACGCCCAGGAAATCCTCGATCTGCATAATTTATTCGTCTGGGAGGCACTCACAGCCTTGGACGAATTCCTGGAGTATCATTTGGATAAGCTCATGAAGAGCAATAAACGGTCTTCGAAGATATATATTATAACGGGTAGAGGGGCCAGGAGCAATAATGGAACTAGTAAAATAAAACCTGCTGTTTTGCAGAAGCTCAATAGTAGAAATATCAAGTAAGATCATCGATAATTTCAGCTTCAAGTTTGATGTATTATTTTTTTCATCTCACGTCCATTCTGTCTTCACAATTGATTCCAGATTTTCTGAAGCTAATCCAGGCTGCCTAAAGGTCACATTATATAGGAAAAATGGTACAACTGATTTAAAAAATTGAAGAGAAAGAACGCACAACTTGTAGATCACAGGGTCTGGTCAATATTTCAACTGTAAGTAAATCGTGTGCAAAGTATGACGATATTTTTCATATATTTTGGAGTATATGATTAAGAAAATGCAATACGCAACGACGTCGCTTAGACAGATAAGTTTTTCCTTATGAATTTAGATTTACAAATACAGATGGAATATATTTTACTAACATCGTAACATAAAATATACATAATGATTACTTTTCTTAGATTATTTAGAAGACACTGTAAGTCTATGGGTTCTCTTTTTTTATACTTTTCACGTGAATTTCGTATTCCACAAGATATGATTATTATATGAATGAGACGTAACAATTGTTTTCCTTTATCACCGTGAAAAGAATTAACTTTGTGTTCATTACGTTTGCTATCCAAAATCATGATTATTTTATTGTTGTTAATTACAGAATAGGAAGTGATTATTTGTTATGTATACCTGAAAATTTTCCAAAAGCCACAGTCGATATTGTGTGCCATATTACTAAAAATCGTACGAAAAATTGAAAAATTATTACTTGTGTTCGTTTTTGCTTTATAAATTTCTCAGTTCCAAAAATATAGAATTAATGTAAACGAAAATTTCACGTTATAGATTCGATTATTTACCCCTTACACGTTTGTCTGCAGTTGTCTTATTGTTTGAGTCGAGTCTCTCAGCTGGCGTTTCGTGTTTAGGTATTTTTTTGGCTGGGCTCTTGATGTTTGGGGATCTGATGTGAACAAGGGGTAGGTTAGCTTCTGTTATCGTCGTCAAACGCGTATTTCTTTTTCCTCCTCCACTTTTAACTTCTTGTGTTGTTGTCACAGAGGAATTTGAGAGTCTACGTTTGACCACTGGCTTCTGTACAATTTCAGGGAGGAACCTGTGGCCAAAGACATTTTTTTCAATTAAAAATCGTCCTTTAACTATTTATTTTACATGTTTATTCGGAAAAAAAATCGTCATGGGAACCTGTTGATCTCCTTCGAAGGTTTCTGTTCAACATTTGTATTGAGAGTACTTCCCCTGAGATTATAATGAGAGGAAACCAGTGATTGATTGCTTCTCGCTGCAACCTTCCTGACCGAATCCCCAGTCCCCTCCAACCTCGTACTGTTGTATTTGATAACTGGCAATCTGGTGCTGAAGGTTGATCTCGGGGAGTCACTGCTCCTCTCTGTCCTAGTGGAGTAGACATTCCTCCTCCACAAGTTATTTCTCTGTCTGTTCCTATCGGTTATGGAGACAGTGCTGTCGCCTCTTTCGGAGACTGCTATTTTCGAAATATTTGATTTACTAGAGACATTTGGCCTGGCGTTTGGACTGGAGGCTACTATTCTCGGGGCCTTGGAGTTTGCTTCCTCGAGAAATTTCGGTCGTCGTGTACTCAGGGGCTGCAATATATCAGTTGGTAAACATAATTCATCATTGGGTTTTGCATAAATTTTTTTATTGAATAATCATGAAATCTGAAAATTGAATAAAACATCTTGAATTCTCATTTACTTATTTCGAAAAATTATGAAAAAGTCTGCTGTATGATGTCATAATACTTTGCATCAATTTCCGAAATAAAAAGGGCAATGTTTTGTATTCAATTTTCATATCCAGCAATAAAAAAAATAATGTAAAGCCGAAGTCAATGAGAAACACTACTTTGCATTTCCGACGTTTCTCAGAAGTAATGTAGCTCAAAAGCATTGGATTCCTCCACTGAGTGCCTTCTGGAGAGCTACTGGGGTATGCGAAGGAGATTGCCTGTCTCGGAAACTCGTGTTCTCTGAATAAAACAAATAAATGATCATTTTCAATCGATTCGTAGGCTTTTGATAAATCACCTCAAGTCATTGAAGTAACGATTCTCCAGCAATCTTTTGACATTACTCCTGTTCTCCGGGTCATAGATCAACATCATCTTCATCAATTCTCTCCCGGAGTCACTCACGTGAGGAATGAGAGTGGAGAAACCAGTTCCAGCTTTGTTGGGGAAGAGATACTCGCAATTCTTCGATTTACTGAGGGGAATATTCTCAGTTGGATTGCGCATTCAGAGAAGAATAAATAAAATTCATACTGTCATGAATATTTTATCCTTACTTTCTGCCTAGGGGATGAAACAACCATTCTACACTGAGAGAAAAGAAATATTTTTTCAAACAACAATTCAGTTATTTCATACTCTAGACGAAAAGTGGATTTGTTCTTTTTGTTTTCGTGGTGAACGATGGAGTAGGAACTTACTGGCGACGAAATTTCGCCACTACTCGTGCATGTGGTGTTCCCAAGACCCCGTGAATCTTAGCAATTTGATCGATCTCGTTGGAGCCTGGGAATAGAGGCTTCAATGTTAAGAGCTCGTAGTACACGCATCCCAGAGCCCAGACATCCATTTTGGGGCCGTAAAAACCGGTCGTTAACAGACATTCTGGGGACCTGTACCACCTGGTGGATATGTACTCGGTGTAGGGGGGTCTACTGTAGATTCCACGGACTGACCCGAGATCAGCGAGTTTCACTGTCTCTCCCTATCATCAAAGTTGATGAATGTAATTTTGATTTTTTTGTGGACCTACAGTAGTTGCTAAAACTCGATTTCCATTATTTTTTTTCTCGATGCATTTGCGTTGCATTAGAAATTTCTATAAAATTAATAATTTGCTATCTTCATAAAATGATGGACATTGCTGAAGAGCAAATCATCATTGAAGAAATATAATGTAACTAAAAACAATTGCAAATAAGTGCAATTTCGTCCCTTGATTTGATTTTTTCTTTTCTGATTTAAGAAATAGGATATTTCGGAACAAGTGCGGAAAAGTGTTTTTGTGGGATTATATCACTCGCCTTCGGCTCGTGCTATAAATTTCCCACGAGCCCAAAAACACTTTTCCCACGAGTATCGAACGATTTTTTTCATCACAATGCGTGGAAAAGTATGTTTTAGGCACGCGAAGCGTACGCCGTGTGGCAACTATAAAATACTGTATGCCACACGGCGATAAAAGCATTATCTGGCGAATGTGGATTATAATCCGAGCCGAAGGCGAATACTTTTATCGCCTGGTGGCATAATATACTATTTCACACAGCGTGATGAAAAAAAAAATATCGCCGTGTGTATAGGGAAAATAGACCCTTCTGTCTTTTTCCAATGCTCTATTTCTTCCCGTAATTCAAAGTGCACCAATTCCCCTTTCTCACGAGTTATAAAAATTTCGAAGAAAGTCAAAAGCGTCCGTTTCCCTCGACTTCAGAAAATACTCAGACCTTCACAAGAATATTTTCGGGTTTGATGTCTCTGTGGAAGATGCCGTACTTATGCAGGTGATCCAAACCCTTCAATAGCTGATAGATATAGGATTTAACTTTTGACTCCGTCATGACTCTCCTGTAATTATTTCAATGCTGTTTGAATATGAAACGGGCAAAGGACCTGCGGATTTTACCCTTTTCGAGATTTAATCAGGTCGTACAGACTCATGTCCATGAGTTCGAAGATCAGAGTGACTTTTCCAGGTAATGGATCACTAAATAAACCAAGAGAACGATAATCGCTTTAGCTATGGGATCTTGGAAATTTGATTGGGCTGGTCTTACTAGTGAGACTCAATCATGTAAAGTATATTTGGATGCCGACTGATCTTCCTCATGGCAATCACCTCGGGGCTGTCCGTGATCTCGTTGAGGCTAGAGTCAAGAAGATTAATTTAAGAGTCAATTTACGGGAGAATGGATTGATGCTCACGACTGATAAATCCTCTTCAGTCTCTTGCCAGCGTAAAATATTCCAGTGACTTTATCCTGGCATTTTAGAACCTCTGAGAACGACCCTTCACCGATTTTTTGAACAACTTTGTACTCTATAATTAGAATATTATTAAAATAAGAATTTTAAACATTCTCTAACAGATCTTAGATGATTGAAAATGTGACAAACTTTTTAGAAATGTCGTTGACATGATGTTTTTATTACAAAAGATTATCTGAAAGTTTGAAGGTTTAATGTCGGCGGATGCTTCGAGGGACAACGATACTTCTGCAGCCCATCGAAATCATTTTCGGACAGTACTTCAGATTAGTTAGAGTGAAACATTAACAGTAAAAATCGAAAATATTACGAAATATCGAATTCTACTGTTTTATACAGACATATTCATGCACAAGAATAAGAACAGCGAAAGAAGAGAAATAATAATTCTCCATCGATTGTAATTCACCAATCATCAATCACCTTATGCAATGTTCTACATATTTATTCTCGTCATTAAATGGTTACAGTATCTATCATCTTTCTTATAATAAATGTTATTAGAATAATAGCGTCAAAGTACTTTTTTCTTAAAAACAATTCCCGAATATTCAATGAAACTTGTTTTTTTTTCTCTCTCTTTACCAAAAACACCCTTTAATGCTTTTTATCTCAACACTATTTATCATTCAGCCACTCTTCTCTAAACAACAACAACACTCGAGTGTTAATGACTTGAAAATTATCAAACGAAGAATATCTATAACTCGACAAATTGATTAATCAATACAAATGTTTTTATTTCAATCGTTTGAAAATATTCGAGGAAACATGTGAAATGACAAGTTCACCAGTGGCAAAAAGGCAGTTGCAGGGTAAACAATTCTGGCCTTTTCTCCCCTCAACTTCTTCGTATCTCTCTCTTTCTTAAACTCAACAAAAAGTGGGATTTCTCACGAGATATTGTGCTAGGAATGTTACACTAAGGAGAAAGTAATCATAATCCAGATGTGCTTCACACGAAAATTACCAGCACCAGACAAAAATCATTGATACAAATTTTTCTTCATCAACAATTGAGGGCCACGTACCACCCCACAGTACATTCAAACGTCAATGATTGTTTTCCTCGATTATTCCTAGTCCTGCAAAGAAGTCGAACTCAACTCTCAAAATCTGGAAATAAAACTTACATTACATTCTTTCCCTCCAGCAAGATTAACGAATCATAACATCGTTGAATTATCTAATTTTAATACAAATCGTTATAGATATAAATTCGGTGATCATTTATTGAGGTACTTTGGACCCTGGAGTGGTGTGACATGGTCTCCGTGGCTCTCAATTGAAGGGAAAAAAAACTATTAAATTTCCTACTATCTCTCAATGTTCTCTCATCTCGGTTGATAAATGTAATTTGTGATTGAACAGTACCTTGCACTTGTCACTCAGTTTGAGCGCAAGCGCGTGTTTTCCAACGCTGCTGCGAGACGTGCAAGTCAACGTGCGTGCGTGAACACAGGAACCAGAGTTGCTATTCGAATCTTCCACCATCTACTTATTTTTCCATTCAATAATCTTATATTTTCCTCAATAATTCGATAATTTGCTTCACCTGAATACTAATTTCTTTTTTCAACTATTCTACCTCAAACTCTGCAATGAATATTGAAAAATAAACGGTAGGGTAAATCGGTTCCACGTGAAATTTGTTTTATCGTTATAAAAAAAAACTGGAATGACAACGCCATTTACTTTTGGTGAAAAACAATACGTAGAAAATATTTATTTTTCGGTATTGGTTTTTTTTTTCATAGAAATTGAGCAATGATCTGCACAATATCAATTCATTCGTTTGTATCTGTTTTTTTTTCCATTTCTAGAAAAATATAAAATTATGTACAATTCAATAAATTATCAGAGAATCATTCCCTTTATCATTTTTGTTCTCGAGGTACAATACACTCGCCGTATCATACCCTTCGCAGCATTCTGATAGCAAATTAACGTTGTCAAAATAATCATTCGAATATTTAAATAAATTGATCCAATTTAAAAAATATATATCTATATATATTTACATGTTTCATCTGAGGAAACAATAATTCCGATCAACCAATTATCTCTGAGCCAAAAATTACGGTTGTCCTTCCATGGTTTTTCATTGTCAAATATATCGAAAACTATGGCATATCCCTCAGTTCAATCTACAATAGAGAACCAATCTACGTTCTGTTATAAATACCCTATGTACATTAAATGGAAATTAGGTCCTGTGTTCACTATCACAGCAATGTTTTGTTTCTTTTAAGCAGCAATAGTTATTACCAAGTTTTATCAAAAATTTTGACTCTCCACAATTGCGGACTACTCAAGAAAGAGTAAACAAAAAAAATCCAAGAGACAGATAGAAGAAGAATATTCTAATTGAGACTCACTGGACTCACAGTATCCCCACCACTCCGAAAAAGGCCAGCACAAGTCTTCAAAGAGCAAAAAAAAACCTTTTTTTCACTTTGTTCCTTAGTTACCTAGCCTTTTCAATATCCTGTATGTACACCTCAATTAATGCCTCCGTATATTTAATTTACATATTCAGGGGTTTGAGAGATCCCCAGAGAAAGTCTCAATACTTTGGTCACTCTCATCCTTGAATTATCTCATCAATCGGGGAATAGAAAGGTCTCTTAGAGCCGTTACAAAGCCTCTGCGCTTGTTGGCTCCTCAGTGACATTATTTTGCTCACAATTATCAGTGGATTCAAGTGGTCCAGATGCCTGCACATTGTCAGTAATGATTGTTGGCTCTTCACTTAACTTATTTTCACAAAATTCCTGGACATGAACGGTCTCTGTCACCTCATTAACACGTTCGTCGTATTGTTGTGGAATATTTTCGTTGATTGGTACATGATTATCCCCATAAAAAGGCTCATGACGATCCTGACTGGGCCTGACAATGTCCTCCTTAACCACATTTTCATGTACCATGGGATTATTTGATTGTTCGTTGGACTCTGGTAGTGCTCGCTCATCAGCTGAAGCTCTTGGAGCAGCTGGCTCCTCCCAACTCTCCCCAGGTTCATTGCTATGTTTTCTGTTGTCTCGAGGCTCACATTCACCTGGTGGCCCATCAGGCTGCTCCTGAGATGGACTGGCATTGCCCCACCTGGACTTTCTGTCCCTGGATTTTCTCTCCCTGTCTCTGTTGTCCCTGTCCTGGTGCTTGTGGCCCTTTGGAGTGTCTCTGTTGGGATGATTATCTCGTGGTATATCGTCTCCCTCAATACCATTGTTACCATCCATCCAGGGACCATTCTCGCCTCTCCAGGGGCCACCTTCTGGCATGTGAGGACCTCTGAAGGGGGGTGGGGGACCTATGGGACCACGACCCTCGTCAAATGGTCTGAAGAAGGCTTCACCTTCTCTGGGATCAAATGGAGGTCCTCTGGGGCCGAACTGACGCATCCCTGGTCGTATGGGTCCTCGAGGGCCCATGCCACGGGGATGGAACATTGGGGGACCTAGACAGAAAGATAATTATTTCAGATAACTAATTTCTAATTAAATCAAGTTATCTCATTGTAACTCTCAACTACTTGATTATTCCCCCATTTAGTTGTTCTCATTAATCATAAATATTACAGAACATCTTACCATGTGGACCCCCTCTATTTCCCATTCCCGGCCTCGGTCCAAAAGGCTCAGCAACCATAGGCCCCCTAGGTCCCCTAGAATTCATCATAGGGCCGAATGCAGGCTCCATATGTCCAAAGAATTCTCGCCTCCTCATGTCGAAATCGGGATGATCAGGATGCAATCGAGGATCGAATCCATCAGCCATCCTGGGGTCGAAGCCCTCCCTCTGACGTCTTTCAAACTCAAATCTCTCCGCCTCGTACTCGTCCACCGGCATGCGTCGCATCTCAGGCCTCTCAAACTCCTCCCTCGGATGTAATCGATGATCAAAGTCATCAGGACGAGGTCCATTGTGTCCGAGACGTCCATCAAAGTCCTCTGGGAATCTTCCAGGCATCATTCTAGGATCTGGAAAATCATCCAGTGGGCCTCTGCCACCTCGAGGTGGAAAGACTCGATCACGATCGTTTCTTGGGAATTCGCGAATGTCCTGGGGACCCCTGAACTCAGCCCTAGGTACGAATTCTCGATCTCCCGGGGTTGGAGGGAATTTGGGTAGATCCAGGAGTGATGGAGGACCATCTACAGGCCTGCGGACATTCAGAGGCTCCTCAAAGGGTGGAGGACGTTCCATGCTTCGATCATTTCTCTCCATACTCCGATCATTCCTCTCTCTACCTCGATCCATTCTGTCGTCCATTGGGAGAGTTCCATCAGCCAATTGTCTGAGTCTATCAGCAAGACTGAGTTTATCCTTCTTGACCCCCATATCTGGCTCCTGCAGGAGTCCTGGCATTGGCCCATCGTGAGGTCTCAATGCATCACGATCTCTCCTCTCATCCCTCCTGTCATCTCTGTCTCTCTCCCTTCGACGATCCCTTCCTCTATCTCTACCTCTCCCTCTGTCTCTCCCACCATCCCTGTCTCTATCACGATCACTCCTGTCTCGTCTCTCCCTGTCTCTCTCTCGATCGCGATCTCTGAAGTCTCTGTCACTATTCTCAGCATTTCTGTCACCAAGAGGACCCTTTGCCATCACTGCCAGCAACTGATCACTCAGATTGGGCTTGTCCTTCGGTGGATTGGCATTTTGGGGCATTACGTCCTCCATCTCAACATCCATGTCGTCAGAATGCTGTGCCTGCATCGGCATTTGCAGAGGAGGTGGTGGGGGACCAACTCCGAACGCTTGGCGAAGCATTGGAAGATTTGGGAGATTTGTGTCACCTGGGGTTGATGCAGGCATCCCTGAAGATCATGTACATTATTATCATGGCGAGGGGAAAGGGATGTAAGAGGTAAAAATTCACTACTGGAATAATTCATATGCGAAGTGGTAAAAGAAGATAAGTCAGTTTTGACTATTGACCAGTTTTCAATCAATATCTCGGAATCTAGGGAAGATAGCAAAATTTTTGTTATAACCTTTTTTGTAGAGCCGATTGAGTGCTACAACAAATGTCATTACAAAAATTTCGCCATCTCCCTTAGATTCGGAAATATTCCTCAAAAACTCAACTGGGAGATAAGTCGACTTATCTCCGTTTACCACTTTATTACTGAATTAATATCGAAATTACCTGTGGAGCTTGATTTGTCTGATGGAGCAGCAGGTGCTGCAGGTGCTGGCAATGGAATTTGGGTGAGGAGACCAACGCCCACACCAGTACCAAATGGTGAATTCACTGGAGGTGTCAACATCGATTGCATGATTCCAGGGGGTCCCAGTAGACCTTGCATGTTGGGTGGTGGCACCCCTATTGGAACATTCGGCATCAGTCCATGGGCCATTGATAGTCCCATAGGTCCCAGCATACCTGTGTCATATATTTAGCATAATGCAATACAAAATGTCTCATAATGCTTTTGTTTCAGGAAGAAAGATAGGTGTTTCTCCAGAAAAAAAAGCTGCAATGAAATTTTTATTAGAAAACTTACGTGGTACACCCGTTATGGGGAAACCAGGAGGCATCATAGACATCTGGGCACTTGTTGGAGGCAAAAGTCCAGTGGAGGGAGTTGTTCTGATTGGAGGTGGCTGACTGGTATCAACGATAGTCGGTTGGGAACTCGAAGAAGTAGCCGGCAAAACGTTGACAATTCCATCAGTCAAGGTTGGAATTGGTGCACCACTCATTGGGATCGGTATACTCTGGCTCCCTTCATTAGCTGCAGAGTGTTTCAATTTTCCTGAAGGAAAAAGAAACAAAATCATTCGACAAATTTCACGAAATATTCTACAAGTCATCTGTTCTAGATTTGCTTGACCAAAAGCAACAGTTTGACGTTATCAATTGGCTCAAAAATCTGAATTTACTCTCGCAAGTTGGTTCCAGCCACAATTACGTAACAAATTGCGGTTAAATTGAACTTGCCAAGAGAGCAATAAAAGCCAATTATTACCAATTAATCTAGCTGGCAAAGTATCCTCATCAATCATTCCCCCTTCCTCCAGCAGCTCAAGATCATGTTCATTGACATTGTTGAGTTTATTCCAGGGTATGTAGCTGACTCCCAGCTCCACTTCCCAGTAGTCCTTCCACTCCTTCCCCTTGACACCTTTTCCAGGTGCCCAGGCCAACTGAAACATAAACCCAATTATAATTCCAAATAAAACATCAAATAATCACCGACTAATTAAAGAAATTATTCCAACTCACAGTGATAGCTTTCCCCTGCATCTTATGATTCTTCAGCTTAGTCAGGGCTCGATAAGCATCCTGTCTTCGATTCATGCAGATGAAAGCACAGCCCCGAGGCGAAATGAGGTCAATACTGACGATATCCCCGAGCTCCCCAAAAGTATCAGACAGCTCTTCCTGATGTACGAGCTTCGATAAATGCCCAACCCACAAAGTTGTGCTGCAAACACTCATCTTCTCCCTAACAATCGGAGGGAGTCCCCTCTTCCTCCGTTCCCTCTGCTTCTCCCTCTCCTCCTCGGTCACCTTCTCCCTGCTCTCGTCCCTCTTTCGTTCCCTGGACCTCGATCTCCTGCGTCTCGATCTGCTCCTAGACCTGGATTTCCTGTCCCTATCCCTGTCCCTATCCCTTCCCCGATCACTCCGATGCCTCGGAGATCTCGATCTACTGTGCCTGCGAAATCTATCAGGAGATCTGCTCTGGGACCTCACAGAATCCAGATTAACAATCTCAACGCTGCTAGAGTCACGCCTGGTGGTAGAGCCCTGGTAGTCCTGCGAGTCCGGACGTTCGTCCAACAGAGGACTTTTCTGATGAATCGATTGTCTCATGCCCCCAGCTGGCTGGGACATAAATGCTGGAGGATAGCCTGGTGGAGGCTGGCTCATATCCTGTTGCATAACTCCAGGTGGATTATAAACGTGTGCACTTGGCTTGATGACATCAGACGGTTTCAGCTCACATTCAGAAGCAAATGGCAGATTGGGAACAGTCTGGGCCAGGTGCTTATCGAACTCATCCTCCTGCTGCTTCATCTGCTGAAGTTTCCTCATTTTTTCCTCCATCTCATGCTGAGTTGAGGACGCACCTCCCTGCATCGTCTGCTGAAGGGTCTGCAACTGTCGAAGCACCTCAGGATTCGTCAGCAATAGTCCCAGACTCTCCAAGCTACCACTGCCACCAGTAGTGTGCTGTCCTGCCGTTGCTGCAGCTGCTGGTGAACTAGCCACCATTACGTCATCGTCCTCCTCCTCACCATAGTCAAAATCCAGAAGTTTCTTGTCGAATTTAACTGAACTCTGGGCCTCGCTCGTGGCTTCCTGCTTCTTGAGGAGTAGCTGTTGAAGATGTTGGAGTTGATCGAGGAATGATGCGTCGACCTGGTTTCCACCAGCTTGTCCAAGCATCTGTTTGGCGTTGACCATGTTAGCAGCTTCCAGTTTCGTCTGAGCCAGCCAGGCTGGGTCTATCGTTTGCTTGGTCTTGGTTCCTGGAGAACTTCTGGAGATCATGCCAAAGCTGCCGAGGTTGTTCGATTGATTCAAGGCTCCATTCGAGCTGATGGATTGTTCTTTGTGGATCGGGTGATTGGGGTCTGCCAGGTCGAAGAGGGGCTGAATAACCTCAGGGGGAAAGACTGCGTTCTTCTGCCAGAGATTGAGGACTCGAATCACCTTGCTCTTGTCCTCTGGGGGACACTTGAGCAGATTCAGGAATGTTGTCTGCATGTTCTTGGCGAAACGAGGGGCAAACACGTCCTTCTCAACTCCGAATTGATGTCTCGACTGCCGAACGATGGAGTCTATCACGTAGAGACCAGGAACTTTGTACTCTGGCTTACACTGAGGAACAAAAAATACAATTATCGAGGTTTATAAAGGTAACATCCCATCTTGCTTTATTGATCAAACAATTGTTAACTCACCTTTTGGATGAACTTCTCGACACTCTGAACGACGTGCTTGTAGAATTTGATGGCTTTTATAGCACCTCTGGTCAGAGAATTCATTTTAGCTTTTGATATCGGTGGCTTCACTTCGTAAAGAGCCGAGAGCTGAAACAAAACAATTTTCATCGTTATAACAGGATGGTGGACATAATATTGATCGAATTTCGGGATTTTCCTGGGGGGTACGATGCGAAATTGTTTTTCAATTGAATCAAGCTCAATTAGGGGAGTCCAAGCTGAGTGTTGGTAAACATTTTTCAGTGGTTTACGAAAATTTTTCTCATCCTTGGGAGGATTATTATGCCTCTAGAGGGAATTTCCAGGCATTCAATGATGATTAATCAGTAAATGATACTTTGGAGTGAAAAGGGAGGGTTTACCCTAACACAGTGACCTCCAAAATAATCACGTATCTCTGGGGAACAGGTAAATAACTACATACCTCAGCATTGAATGCCTTAACAGCGTCCATTGTTGCTTGTATTATCAAACAGTACAGTGCACTAATATTCAATTCAATTCCTACAAGTTTTTGAAGACTATTCCACTATTATGTTCACGAATAATCGCCATTTCTTATCGTCAACGCAACTACCGCAGCCAAAAAGGACCATGCCATTCAAGATGGCAGACACCATTTCCCAGTGTGCATCGCGGACACACAGCGTTATGACGTCACGCGTAGTTGTACAACTTCAACTATTGACTTCACAAATAGTGCTAATTATCGAGGAAATAAATCGATGATTTTTTAAATGTATTTCGTAATAACTGCACTCGTTGGGGATGAAGATTTTCCACGAGAAATTTATTTTTTCCTCGTGAGAAATAGCTAGTGGAGGAGGTTGCCACGCAACTGGCGCCACGAGTCGGCACCGGTTGGAACTCCATCTCCAGATCATTTTCAATTTTTTTTTATCTGACTGGAAATTATCTTAACCTGATTTCTTCAATTTTTCTAATTGTTGTTGGGGGGGGGGGG